TTTTTTTTTTTTTGATTCTATATTGTTTATTTCTGCCCTGATTTTTATTATTTCTCTTCTTCTACTGGGTTTGGGGTGCTCTTGTTGCTCTCCTTCTAGTTTCTTTAGGTTCACTTTCATATTTTGTACTTGCACTTTTTCTAATTTCTTGAAATATGCCTGGAGTGCAATGTTCCTTCCTCTTAGGACTGCCTTTGCCGCATCCTATAGAGTTTAGAATGTTGTACTTTCATTTTCATTTGTTTCTATATATTTTTAAATTTCTTCTCTAATTGCCTGATTGGCCCATTCATTCTTTAGTAGGGTGTTTTTTAACCTCCATATTTTTGGAGGTTTTCCAGACTTCTTCCTGTGATTGATTTCAAGTTTCATAGCATTGTGATCTGACAGTGTGCATGGTATGATCTCAATTCGTTTATATTATTGAGGGCTGCTTTATGTCCCTGTATTTGATCTATCTTGGAGAATGTTCCATGCGCACTTGAGAAGAAAGTGAATTCCACGGCCTCAGGATGTAGAGTTTTAAATATATCTGTCAGATCCATCTGGTCCAATGTGTCATTCAAGTCCATTGTGTCTTTACTGATTTTCTGTCTGGTTGGTCTATCTATTTCTGTAAATGAAGTATTAAATCCCCTGCTATTAGCACATTCTTTTCCATAAGAGTGTTTCTGTTTGTGATTAATTGTTTTATGTATTTGGGTGCTCCCATATTCAGTGCGTAGACATTTATAATTGTTAGCTCTTCCTGATGGATAGACCCTGTAATTATTATATAATGTCCTTCTTTATCCCTTGTTACTGCCTTTACTTTGAAGTCCAGCTTGTCTGATATAAGTACAGCTACTCCAGCTTTCTCTTGACTTCCATTAGCATAATATATATTTCTCCATCCTCTTACTTTTAATCTGAAGGTGTCCTCAGATCTAAAATGAGTCTCTTGTAGACAGCAAATAGATGGATTTTGGTTTTTTATCCATTCTGCTACCCTATATATTTTGATTGGAGCATTTAGTCCATTTACATTCAGTGTTATGAAAAAATATGGGTTTAGAGTCATCGTGTTCTTTGTAGGATTGATGCTTGTGGTAGTGTCTCTGGAACCGTGTGTTCCTTAAACATTTCCCTTATAGATTCCCCCTCAGGATTTCTTGTAGGGCTATGCAGAGTTGATGAATTCTTTCGATTTTTGTTTATTTTGAAAGACTTTTATCTCTCCTTCTAGTGTGAATGATAGGCTTGCTGGACAGAGGATTCTTGGCTGCATATTTTTTCTGTTCATCACATTGAAGATCTCCTGCCATTCCTTCTGGCCTGCCAAGTTTCAGTAGATAGGTTTTTCACCACTCTGATAGGTTTCCCTTTGTATGTTAGGGCCCTTTTATCCCTAGCTGCTTTCAGAATTCTCTCTTTGTCCTTATATTTTGCCATTTTCACTATGATATGTCATGCAGAAGACCGATTCAATTTACGTCTGAGGGGGGGTCTCTGTGCCTCTTGAATTTGAACATGTACTTCCCTCCGCAGGTTGGGGAAGTTCTCTGCTATAATTTGTTCCAGGACTCCTTCAGCACCTTTCCCTCTCTCTTCTTCTTCTGGAATTTCTATGATTGGATATTGTTCCATTTGATTGTTATCGCTGAGCTCTCGAACTCTTCTTTTGTGTTCTTGCATAAGTTTATCTCTCCTTTTCACGGCTTCCTCTTTTTCTATCATTGTGTCTTCTAATTCACCTATTCTCTCTGCGTCTTCTATCCGTGCATTGGTCGCCTCCATTTTATTATGCATCTCATTTATAGAATTTTTTCATTCATCACAACTATTTTTAAGCTCCATAGTCTTTGTAGCAATAGTTTCTCTGCTGTGTTCCACGCCTTTTTCAAGCCCAGCGATTAATTTTATGACTATGGTTCTAAATTCTTGTTCAGTTATGGTGCTTATATCTGTTTTGAGCAGTTCTTTAGCTGTCATTTCTTCCTGGAATATCTTTAGAGTAGAGTTCTTCTGTTTTGTCATTTTGGTTAGCTTACTGTCTCTTCTTAGTTTTAAAACCTTGTTATGTACTCTGCACCTGTGAATACTGCTGTATTAAAAAAGGCTCTCTGCAAATCAGAGGACTCTAGATGCTGGCGAGGATTCCCTCCTACACTCTTGGGAATGTAAACTGGTGAAGCCCCTCTAGAAAACAGTGTGGAGGTTCCTCAGAAAATTAACAATAGAACTCCCCATGACCCAGCAATAGCACTGCTAGGAATTTACCCAAGGGATATGAGTGCTGATGCATAGGGGCACATGTACCCCAATGTTCATAGCGGCACTCTCAACAATAGCCAAGTCATGGAAAGAGCCTGTGTCCATCAATGGACTAATGGATCAAGAAGATGTGGTTTATCTATACGATGGAATACTACATGGCAATGAGAAACAATGAAATCTGGCCATGTGTAGCAACATGGTTGGAACTTGAGTGTGTTATGCTGAGAGAAATAAGTCAGGCAGAGAAGGACAAATACCATATGTTTGCACGTATAGGAGGATTAGGAGGAACTTAACGGAGGACTGTGGGGGAGAAGAAGGGGGAAAATAGTGGGGGAGAAGAAGGGAGACAAACCATGAGAGACTCTTGAATGCTGAGAACAAACTGAGGACTGATGGTGGGGGGAACGGGAAGGGTGTTGTTGGGCAGGAGGAGAACACTTGTGGGAATGAACACTGGGTGTCATATGGAAACCAACTTGACTATAAACCTTTTTTTTTAAAAAGAGTAAGGGTCATAGTATATTAGTGATTTCTGTTCACATGAGGAAGAAAAACCACTACATGATAGTGAGAATGATTTCAGGCCCTATTTAAGAGATTATCCCATTGGTTTCCCCTAGTCATTACTATTGTATACATATCAGTGGGCCATTGAGCAGGCAAAAAGACACAGTAGACACAAAAATATTCACAAATGCCGTTTACCAAAACAAATGATTCAAAAGTGTTTCTAACTTCAGTAGTACTATGTACCCTGAGTTGAACATTGATCCCAAATCTCAATTTATCAAGATATGTTTCTTTACTCCAGGAACCTCCCACTTACGATGGACTTGTACAGATGGAGTATCTTGATATGGTGTTGAATGAAGCTCTCAGATTATACCCAATCACTGGTAGACTTGAGAGGGTCTGTAAGAAAGATGTAGAAATCAGTGGTGTGTTCATTCCTAAAGGGACATTGGTGATGGTGCCAACATTTATTCTTCACCGAGACCTGGATCTCTGGCCAGAGCCTGAGGAGTTCCATCCTGAAAGGTAGAGGGAACCCTGGAGAAGGAAACTCGCCCTTCTATTAGAGGATTCCACTATTGCTTAGTATAGATGACAATGTGTGATTGCACAATTATTCATTTATTACACTATGTCAAAATTTTATATACTGTAGACTGGAAAAAAGAATATTAAAGTTATCCTTGGTACCAATATGTCAAGATTATTAATAATGGTATGCAATGTCCTTGTGGACATTTATCTAGGCATATATAGATTACTAAAAATTAGGATGGCATTATGTATTTTTTGAACAGCTTACCTAGCATTAACAGTAAACTAACAATATACTATATTTGTGTTTATCTGATTATATGAATATGTCATAATTTACTTACCACTATGTTATTGGAAGAAATAGACATTTTTTTTCCTTTAAGTTTTTTCTGTCCTCTTTAGCTCTCTGGATATACCCTCAACCTATGGCTCCATGTTTGTAAACCTTGACCACCATTTCCACTAGCCCTAGTGGGAGAGCAGAGGCTGTAGATCTGAGAGTCCGCATGCCTGGCAGGAGGAGTAGCCTCGTGCGATGGGGACACACACAGGTCCTGTGTTTCTGTGGCTGCAGTCCTATGCCAGCTCCCGCCTCTGTTGGTATCTGGGGTTCGTCCAAAGCAAAGTCATCTGCTCTCAGGCCTTCTGAGACATCCTCCTTGGAGGGATCTTGAGCTTTCTCTCCAGGAATCCAGAGTCTGGCTTTGAGCACAGCATGAATTCTAGTTGGTGCTTTCCTGTTTATTGTATTGGTGAGCAAAATTTGGAGTGAACTTTGTAGGGGTCTCGACTTTTAGCCCCTGACTCTAAGCTCCCTGATGGCAGAGCCCTTGTCTTGTTGCATGGTTTCTCTAGTGTTAGTATCATGTCTATACTTAGTACTTGCTAAAAGAAGTCAGAATTGACCAAGTCACCTGTTTCCTGGACCAGAAAACCTGGTGGTTCCCACAAGTTGAGAAGTCTCTGCTTCTGTAGCTTCTCAAACAGAAACCAGAGACTCTTGGTACTTTTCTGTGATTCATTCAGTCATGAGAGAAAGTGCTTACCTATGTGTGTCAGGGACTGTGCCAGGCAGCGCCAAGTCCACATATTAAAAATGTCTATTATGGAGAATTTTTGACACATGCACAAGCACATCCTATAATCACAAGTCTATGAAATACTTTTAACGCATTTATATGTGGCCATCACCTGCTCAACAACCACTAACCCACATCAACTGCTCAATCCACACATCATTACAATTCCTTGCCTGATTCCCTATTACTTTAAGGCACATCACCTGTAATCATTCCAGAATATTCTCCCTAATCGAAGGGCTTTATAAAATTAACCTCTGACAATGTCATTATCACTTTCCCCATATCTGCACTTTTCTTATATAAATATTGAGTGATGCATTTTTTAAAATGTTTTATTTATTTCTGAGACAGAGAGACAGCGTGAACAGGGGAGGGTCAGAGAGAGAGGGAGACACAGAATCCGAAACAGGCTCCAGGCTCTGAGCTGGCAGCACAGGGCCCGACATGGGACTCGAACCCATGAACCATGAGATCGTGACCTGAGCCGAAGTCAGATGCTTAACCGACTGAGCCACCCAGGAACCCCTTAGGGATGCATTTTTTTTTTTTTCTTGCTCCCAACGGGTCTATAATTTCTTTTTTTTTTTTTTTTTTTTTTTTT